GGGCCTCCGAGGACCTGCGCGGGGCCAGGCGCTGGGGGCCCGGGCTCGTCCTGCTCCTAGTGCCGACCTGGTTCCGGCCCTCAGGCTGGGAGACGGCGGAGGGCCTGGGCCCGGGGGTCCTGCTCCGCAGCCCCTGCCTCCCCCAGAAACAAGCATCCTTGCCCCTTGGTTGATGGCGCATCATGTTGATCACGTTTTTTTTTTTTTTTTTTTTTTTGGGGGGGGGGGTTATTCAAAGCTGACATTTTTGTTTTGGGTACACATAAGATACATTTGCTAAAGATCTATTCTTATGTCTTTCAGAGAAACATTGTGGCTTTAACATCCATCCCAGTTGCCCTGTGGACTCCAAGAATTGCTTCTGGCGCTGCGCGCAGGCTGGTGGCAGGCGCGCAGGTCTATCCTGCCTCCGCCCAGGGATGGACTGGCTGGGGCCTCCAGTCTCAATGCCCCCTCCAGCCCCCACTAACCCCCTTATGTACGTGTGTGAGGACTTCATTGTGACATGCAGGCGGGAGCAGGAGGCTGCTCAGTTCCTGTGTGTTCCCCGGCTCTGCGTGTCCCTCCGGCTCCCGGTACCCAGCTTCCCCTTCCTAATCCAGGGTGTGGGAGTGACGGGTCTCACCATTGCTTTTTAAGGTTTGCATCTATGTTCTTTACAGACTTGGGGCGTCGGTTCAGCCATTGAGTTGTGCCTTACGCACATGCATGCTTATCGTTTGTCCGTATTCTTATTGAGGTTGATGTCCTTTTTTCGAAAGAAGATATTCCCTGAAGAATAATACTATTGGATGCATTTGAGGTATCACCCATATAGTTAACGTTACTTTAAAAATGAGGACCATACAAAAATGGAGGCTGGTGTCTTTTCACAGTGGTTATTCATCTGCTGGGAGTTTTAGACCTTGCAATAGTGTCTGCCATTATGTCCTGTCAACTTTGTCGGTGGAGAAACTTAATGGCAGGAACCTAATTTTATTAATAATTTGTCTCCCCTCCCACTTAGGAGTTGTATTTCTTTTTTGTTGTTGTTGTTGTGATCAGAACTTTAAAAAAAAAAAAAGTTATTGACTTCAGAGAGGAAAGGAGAGGGAGAGAGCTAGAAACATCAATGATGTGAGAGAATCATTGATTGGCTGCCTCCTGCAGTCCCCTTCTGGGCATTTAGCCAAGCCAGGCCTGTGCCCTTGACTCTAAAGGGTCAGAGCTAATTACTAGACATTGGTATTTGAAGCAGTTCCCACCTGTTAGTCCTAAATTCACTGATTGGCTTTTATTGGAGTTTCCTGCCTAGGGGATATGGATGTATCCTATAATTCTAATCTTAATAAAAGGGATGGAAAACCAGTGCGAGTAGTCCTCCCACTAGAGTTGGACTACCACCTGGCCCCCATTTCCCAAATTAATGCTTTTCTAGTCTCTTTTCCTTTGTGTGCGGCCTTCTAGAAAACCCAAACCTGGAATCAGAACCTTGAATCACACGGGATGTGAAAGGGGTTCCCACAGTTCTTTTTCACATTCGAGACATCGATCCATCTGGAGACCTAGATACACGTCCGGTTCCTTTGGGACATTCTTTTGGAGCTGTTTCTTTTAGTGCCCAAAGTTTGGTTCATTGAGGGTGTCCGGACATGAGGGTGCTCATGTAGCACCATCCTCACCTTGTTATGTAAACCTCAGTTTTATGTAATTGCACAGGATGCCTTTTTTAAAAAATCTGTTGTTTTCTAGTGCCTTGCATTCAAAATAATCAAAATGCCAGAGGCACATGTATTTTGGGATGGCATCCTCTTTTTAATTCCCTCCCATCTTTCTCTCTCTCTCTTTTAATATCTTCTTATTGATTTAAGAGATGAAGGGAGAGGGAGAGAGAGAAACATCAATGATGAATTATCCTGCACAACACCTACTTAAGGATCAAGCCGGATATCAGGGCATGCGCCCTGACCGAAAATCAAACCGTGATCTCCTGGCTCTGAGCAACCCGGCCGGGCTCCCTTGCATCTTGATGCACAAATATCTTACGCATAACTCAGTGAGCGGTCCTCCATTGGCCTGTGCTGACCAGCCGCATGAAGGGCGGTCCCGGGAGCCGTGGCTTCTGCTTATGGGGACCACTGGCCTCTCTGGTGTCTGCTCCGGGTTGTGCAGGCCCCGCTACGTAAGGGGCAGCTCCGCCATCGGAAACACCTTGACAGTTGCAGATGCTCACAATACATAATCCTGGACAGAGATGTGATCACAGGGTCAAGAATGTGGTTTTAGATCATTTTCCTCATGTGTTTACAATGACTCTATTTGAAGATATTTCAAACTTACGCTAGTGGGATGCACGGAAAATGGAATTTAGCACCAAAAAACCCCAACCCCCTGCCATATTTAGCTTTGAGTGAATTATAAACATTCCTTGACTCACAACCACCCTGAGTGGTTACATAGTGCAGTGGTTAGCACATCTGCTTTACATGCAGAAGGTCCTGGGTTTGATCCCAAGTGGGACCAGTGACCACAATCCTTCCCCCCTTGAAGGCAAACTAGGGGTTGTTTTGTTTTTCGAATCACCTGCATGACTCAAAGATCTTTGTTCTAAGAGGGAGATCACAGTTCCATTCCCGGTCAGGGCACATGCCCAGGTTGTGGGCTTGATCCCCACTGTGGAGCATGAAGGAGACAGCCCATCCATGATTCTCTCATTATGTTTCTCTCTCTCTCTCTGAAATCAATTTAAAAAAAAATTTTTAAAGTAAAGAGCCAATATAGACATTGCTCCATGTTGATCTTTAATATACATATGTTTTTATTGATTTCAGAGGGTTAGGAAGAGATATAGAAACATCAGTGATGAGAGAGAACCATGGATCAGCTGACTCCTGTACATCCCCTATTGGGGATCGATCTGGAACATAAAGTCTGCAGGTGGAGGAGCTATCCACTGAGACAAACCGGCTAGGGCACCATGTTGCTCTTTCTATTCTTGTTACTAGTAAGGTACCTGTTTCAGGGTTGCGAATGCAGTGCCCAGACTGCCCCCTGAAGGAAAGACTCGCCTGCCAAGTGCAGATGGCTCCTGCCCTCCGTCCTTCCCACATCCAATGACAGGCAACGTGGGAGGTAAGGGTTGGTCCAGGGACACTGAGCTAATGTGGGGGCCCCAGAGCTCCCCACATTTACCTGGCCTGTGTCAGTTTGACACTCTCCTCCCTGCAGATATGAGAACCTGATAATCATTTTCCACTTCAAATCCGTCTCAGCACCTGCTTCCACGGACCAACTTGCCTCATTACATCGCCGTGTTTTTGTGGGTGGAGGGGCTGTTGTATGTTATTACCATTTTACTCAACATGCTTTCTGCAAAGACAAGCAACAAACAAATCTATGTATTGAATTACAAATCATTTCTTCTCAAGTCTTTCAGGTTGTAAACCACATGCTAACATTAATACTATTTCTATGGTGTCTCTTTTAAAAAAAGTAGGTTGCTTTCCATAGCTAATTTATATTATCATATGTATTATGTCAGATCAGGATTAATGTTGTTTTTATTTTATTCAATATTTATTGGTTCAAGAGAGGAAGGGAAAGACAGAAGCATCAATGACCAGAGAGAATCATTGATCAGCTGCCTCCTGCATGCCCCACACTGGGGATCGAGCCCACAACCTGAGCTTGTGCCCTAACCTGGAATAGAACCAGGACCTCCTGGTTTACAGGTCAATGCTCTACCACAGAGCCACACTGACTGGGCTAAACACTTGTGCATGATTTACAAAACCACCAAGTTCTATATTTATGGTCCCATTTCATCCCCACGCCCACCTTTTACTTCAGAGCCTCATGGTGGAGCATAATAATCCCTTCTTTGGGAAACTGCTGTTTGAACTACTGTTATTCTCAGTCTCTTATTCTGTATGCCAACTGTTATTTTTAGACTGTAAAATAACTTTTTTTTTTTCTTGAATAGAAAAGATAAACTTAGCCAAGACCGGTTTGGCTCAATGGATAGAGCGTCGGCTTGGGGACTTTAGGGTCCCGGGTTTGATTCAAGAGGCAGCTGATCAATGACTCTCTCTTATCGATGTTTCTAACTCTCTATCTCTCTCCCTTCCTCTCTGTACAAAATCAATAAAAATATATTTAAAAAAGAAGAAAAGAAAAGATAAATTTAATTGTCTGACCTTGCAAACTAGCCATCTAACTGATACGCTGACATTGATGCCAGGTGCCTGTAGATATGATACTGAAGGTTACAGGTGTTTGTTAGATATGTATTCAAGGTTACAAATTGTCTGTAAAAATAACTTACAGAAAGATATATATATATATATATATATATATATATATATATATATATATGCAAAAAACACACAGAGAGAGAATGCTTCCTCTGTTGGGGATTCAGAATTTGACAAAAGTCATCTGCTCTGAACCTGTGTGCAATAAAGATGACTCCCAATGAATTGGCTCACTAGGCGCCTTGTCCAGCTTGCTGATGTGCGTCACAATGGACTGTTCCCAAGAAGGGCTGCATGCAGGCCTCAGCATTTTCACTCTTTGGAGTCCTCTTCCCCTAACATCTGCTGGGCTCACTCCTTTTCTCAGATTAGGTAGGACTCTGGTCATGTAGCTCCTTTGCTTACAGCGTTTACCTCCACTTAATCCCTATCTAAGAAGCCAGCTTGGGCCTGTTTGTCTTCCCAACCTGGGTTCCCATGCAGGTGACTCCCAAGGTTGCATTCCTTGTTGCAGCCTCACCTGCTGGGAATTCGGGACACACACACAGGTGTCCCAAAGACACAGGGCCACGGATTTACCAACATGGGTCTCAGGAACTCCCGCCTATTTTAAATCTAAAAGTCAAACGGTCACTTTTATTGGAGCCAAACGCTAAAATGGAGATGCCTGCTGAAAGAATAGGACAAGTCACACGCTCAGCGTTTTCCGAAAATGTAAGTGGCTCTGGAAAGAACCTTTGTCGTCCAGGTTCCTAACCTGCTTTCTCCTTACTTGGACTTGTGGTGGCTCTCGGTCTTCTTGGGCAGCAGCACGGCCTGGATGGTCTTCTTGTCGCCGGCCGCGTTGCCCGCCAGCTCCAGGATCTCAGCCGTCAGGTACTCCAGCACGGCCGCCAGGTACACGGGCGCGCCCGCCCCGCCCCGCTCCGCTCCGCTCCGAGTAGTTGCCCTTGCGGAGCAGGCGGTGCACGCGGCCCACGGGTAATAGCAGCCCGGACCGCGAGGTCTTGGCCTTGGTGCGCGCCTTGCCGCCCTGCTTCCGTGCCCCGACATGCTGACTACAAATTTCTCTGCAGTGGCTGCGAAAGCGAAAGTGCTCGGGCGGCACTTTTTATAAACGTTTGTGGCGCGAAAAAGCAGATGTGTCATTGGTTAGGGTTTCTGCTTCATCTTAACCAGTGAAAGTGCAATTTGGGATTCTGTAGCTCTGATTGGGCAGAGCTAAGTTTTCCAGATTGCTCTCCAATAACCAGCAGACAAAGGACTTTGGTTCATCACCTGATTTGCATGCGAAGTTGTATATAAATAGAACACAGCATTCCCCGTCCTTACTATTTCTTCTACCGATCTCCTCCATCCAGCTCCCGACCATGCCCGAGCCCGCCAAGTCCGCGCCCGCCCCGAAGAAGGGCTCCAAGAAGGCGGTGACCAAGGCGCAGAAGAAGGACGGCAAGAAGCGCAAGCGCAGCCGCAAGGAGAGCTACTCGGTGTACGTGTACAAGGTGCTCAAGCAGGTGCACCCCGACACCGGCATCTCGTCCAAGGCCATGGGCATCATGAACTCGTTCGTCAACGACATCTTCGAGCGCATCGCGGGCGAGGCGTCGCGCCTGGCGCACTACAACAAGCGCTCCACCATCACGTCCCGCGAGATCCAGACGGCCGTGCGCCTGCTGCTGCCCGGCGAGCTGGCCAAGCACGCCGTGTCCGAGGGCACCAAGGCCGTCACCAAGTACACCAGCTCCAAGTGAGGCGCCGCGGCCCGGCTCCCAACCCCAAAGGCTCTTTTCAGAGCCACTCAGTTGTCATGTTAGAGCTGTAAGCACATGCTTCAAATATGGGGGGGGGAGGTGTCGGGCACAAAATACTTTGAAGGTTTTCAGAGGTGAGACCCTTACCTACTGATTGGGGGTACGTGCATCTATGTTAGAAAACAGAAAACCTGACAACCGAGAAACACCATAATCGGCACCCTGGTGGATTCCAAGGCCCGGAGAACTTGGGACTCTTGTTGAGAAGAGACACAAGGGTTTAACCACTTCTTCACTAATTTTGGCAGTAATGTAAAACTTCTTAAGTGGTGTGGTTCATTGACATCATTTCTTTGCCTGATGTTTTTAGTATTTATAATGGAGGCAAATGTAAGAAATGTTTTCAAGAGTAAAGCCTGCCCTAAATGTGTGGTGTAGTTTGTGAGTAAATATAAAGGGACCTACTTTAGGGGGGGGGTCCCCACAAACGCACGGCAGGGGGCTGCAGGCCGTGAGGCTCACCCAGGCGAACCCCCTGAACCTATCTTCCTGGCCCCCTCATTCATTCCTATAATAGTTTTAGAGCCACAGCTGTCCTCTCACTGGCCCCAGTTTTAACAAAATCCAAAACTAAAATGGAGCTGGAGTTCCTTATACCTCAGACCTTGAAGGGCTGCAGCAAAGTTACCTTTGGACCTAACCTAGGGCCATGTTGTATCCCAAATACTGTTTGAAGAGGAAAGAAAGCAAATGTTCTTTACTGAGCGATGGGCGCCAGACTGAAGAAACCAGTGTTTGGTACTGGGGTTACTGTTAACATTTCTGAACGGAGAGTGATGCTTCCTGCGGTGAGTGTCTGTTCCCCTTCCCGTGCCCACCAATTCCTGTCTGTCTCCTCAGCGGACAGTGTCTGGGCTCCTGCCTTGTTGGTTTCTAGTAAATGTTCGCTGCCTCCTGCTCTGAAAGGCCCTTTCACCTTTAGGTTAAATGTCGAGAAAGAGAGAGACACAGGTTTTCCAAGACCCACAGCAGAGCTTCCGGCCACCCTGGCGAAACAAGACACCAGGAAGCCAGCAGCGCCTTCCTCCGCTTAGAGCCCCCCGTGAGGCATGGACACATCGAGGGGAGATGAGCGATGGGCAGGGCCGCCCAGACCCAGGCAGTTCCAACCGGAAGCCAAACCCCCGGTGGGGTGCGGTGGGGAGACTCTGAAGCCTCCCATCAGGCTAGGAGCTGAGTCCCGACCCTGCCCGTCCCCAGCAGCCTGCACTGAGGTCCTGCTTGCTGTCCTGACTTCCTCTTCTCCATGTTCATCTGGCCTGAGAGGGGCCTTTGGATTTGGTACACAATGCGAGTTTGAGCTAAATCTACAGACGTTACAATAGCTTTTATAGCTGCATTGTAGTACTGAAATGGTCCCCTGAGCACTAACACGCCACAGCACCCTCTCAGGCTGCACAGCAGGGAGCTGACAGGAAGACGGGGTGGGAGGCAGCACCTCCTTCAAATGCAAACGTCGCCTGAGGCCCCGGAGGGAGTTAAGAACCTGGGTTAGAGCCTTGACCTAGTAGCAACGCCAGCCGCTTGGCCTGGGGGGCGGTAGGGGCCTGATCTGGGGTGCACCTCCCTAAGGATTAGACAGGAACCGGGGCAGGAGCAGGCCGGGGGTACGGATCGGCTTCACCTTTCTCCTTCCTGATGCCCAAAGCGAGCAGGTGAGGACGGAATATCACGCACTTTGGTGACGTCATGCTTTAGTGTATCCGGGTTTCCAGTGGCGTCAGGGGGAAGTCATAGCAGAAAGCCTTCCCAAGACAAACACCCCAGCCCTGCAGGTGGGACTTGTGGTTTCACCCTTTCCTGGGGGCCTTGGCTACCGGGAGTTTGCACTACAAACCTTCAAGGACCTGGGACCCCGAGGGCCAGCCTAGCTCCCCAACCCCATCACCCCATTTTCTTAAGGGCAGCGCTCAGCTCCTCCGGGAGGGCGTGGGCGGCCCTGAAAAGGGCCTTTGGTTTTGCGCAGGAGCCGCGGGCGGGGAGCGGGCTCAGCCGCCGAAGCCGTAGAGGGTGCGGCCCTGGCGCTTGAGCGCGTACACCACGTCCATGGCCGTGACCGTCTTGCGCTTGGCGTGCTCCGTGTAGGTGACGGCGTCGCGGATCACGTTCTCCAGGAACACCTTGAGCACCCCGCGCGTCTCCTCGTAGATGAGGCCGGAGATACGCTTGACGCCGCCGCGCCGCGCCAGGCGGCGGATGGCGGGCTTGGTGATGCCCTGGATGTTGTCGCGCAGCACCTTGCGGTGGCGCTTGGCGCCGCCCTTGCCCAGGCCCTTCCCGCCTTTGCCGCGACCGGACATGCTGAGAAAACCAGAGAGCAGTAATGCGCTGGCAGCGGAGCAGCGCCTTCTTATAGGGCCTCAAGCGGACCGAAGTGGAGCCCAGGGGCGGGGCGGGGCCTAAGAGCTGAAACCCGGGGCTGGGACCTCCCCTCTCCCTTCCCTCAGGCAACCCCCTTCCTCCATTCAATTCTCTTTGATACTCACACCCGTCTGCTTTTCTCCCAGTTTAGGTTCAAGGGCCTCCTGCTCTGTCCAAATTAAACCGCAGAATCTTAGCATCTCAGAGCAGCGATTTTTAACTTCCCCCTCATGGTACATGCAAGCCAAAGTCAAATCCGCTGTCATAGAAGATGCATAAGACAGCAGCGAGGAAGGATTTTCTGCACGTGCACCTTACTTGTGTGTTCCTTCTTAACACGGTTGGCACAGGGTATGCCATTGGGGGACGTTTCCCTCCTTAGTTTCCAGGAGGGATTCTCTCCATAGGACGTGATGGTAACAATGCAGAGAATGGTAGGGTCATGCAGACACATTGCTCATTCTCTTCTTCCAAAGGCACCAATTTATTTTCATTTCTAACAGCAGAGACTATTATGTCTAACTAATATTGGGTGGAATTACTTACAGAATTTCAACGATCCAGATAGAGAATTAACTTTGAAAATACAACCAGCTGGTGGATTAGTACAACACATCAAATATGTCCCCACTGATCTGAGGAACTCATCATCTATTTAATATTTCACTTAAAATTAGTTCTTCAGTTTTTATTGTAGTGATGGACTATGACTGGTTTGTTGTGTTGAGAAAATATTTTAGTATTTGGCAGTGAATTCCCACCCCTGTTATTTTTCAAAAAAATTTCTGTTATCACCACTCTTTTTTTTCTTAAACTTACAAATGATTTCGTCTGCTTGGAACAATGAAATTCTCTAAGTAGTCTAATCAAAACTGTGCTAAAGCTATGCATTTTTAGGGTAACTTTATCTTTGAAATGCTGTGTCCTCCTAACCAGAAAAATACTACCACCAATCCACATACATACCTCAGTAGAGTTTTCTAGAATATATATAAGGGGAATCTTACTGTGTTTATTTTCATCTGATAAATGCAGGTAATATATATTTTTTAAAATTAAAAAAACAACAACACACGTTTGTAAACACAACAAAGGAGCCTGGACTGGCTGTCACTACTTCAACCAATGCAGCAGACAAAGGGTGGAATCACATGAGCATTTATTCTAATAATGTCGGAAGTGTGGGAGAACACCAGGTCACCCACAATAATCTGCTTTGCTCTGCCGCTCCCATAGGCTGTCTGCTTATATTGGGCAGAAGGACAAAGATTACGTGAGAACGTAGGAATTGCAGGGCTGGGAAAGTGGGCACGGGGCACTCATTACAGGTTACAAATCATGTGGGCTGGGGGCAGGCGCCTCTCGGCACCCGGGACCAGTTTTCAGGCAATAGGATGGGAGTTGTAAAGAGCAGGTGCCTCAGGGACCAGGTGGTCTCAGCCGCGAGGTTGTCAGTCTTTCCATGGTAGGCTGTTCTTGGGTCAGGAGGATGCCTGCGTTCTGCCGTGAGCTCCCTCTCCCAGGACATACAGCTCCCTGCCAGGTAGAAGGTGCTTTCTCTAACTGGAACAGAACCATCCCGATGAACAGAGCAGGTTTAATAGTTCTTACAATTGACGATGTTGTCCCTAATATTCTATGTCTGCCCCTAACACTTTTACTAATTACAAGAGCAATTAACTCACTGGTGAATATGTAGAAAGTTCAAATGAAGGGGGGAAGTATGTTTTACTATATCCAACCTTAATGACTGGAATACATTTTATAGAACCTTCTTTAACATTTTTTTAAAAAAATTGATTTTAGAGAGGAAGGGAGAGAGAGAAGCATCAATGATGAGAGGGAATCATTGATTGGCTGCCTCCTGCACGCCCTCTCCTG